TTTGAACTTGGCGGCAAGTAACCTTTAGTTTCCCAGTCTATTGTGTCCATTCATAGTCTTAACAATAGGGTGTAAATTGCCATGCGAGCCTACCGCACTTGACCGCGGTAAACCGGGGTCATGGAATCTATGCATAAATTTGCATAAAATGCGGTCGACCGGCGAGCACCCACCACCACCGCGGTAATGACCGCGGTAAACCGCGAGTTTGATTTCCTACTCTTCCCTTATGGCATTGAAGGGGCTTTTCCATTTGTAGGGGTATGTGGATTCTGTTAACTATTATTTGTGACTTATGGCATTGAAGGGGCTTTTCCATTTGTAGGGGTATGTGGATTCTGTTAACTATTATTTGTGACTTATGGCATTGAAGGGGCTTTTCCATTTGTAGGGGTATGTGGATTCTGTTAACTATTATTTGTGACTTATGGCATTGAAGGGGCTTTTCCATTTGTAGGGGTATGTGGATTCTGTTAACTATTATTTGTGACTTATGGCATTGAAGGGGCTTTTCCATTTGTAGGGGTATGTGGATTCTGTTAACTATTATTTGTGACTTATGGCATTGAAGGGGCTTTTCCATTTGTAGGGGTATGTGGATTCTGTTAACTATTATTTGTGACTTATGGCATTGAAGGGGCTTTTCCATTTGTAGGGGTATGTGGATTCTGTTAACTATTATTTGTGACTTATGGCATTGAAGGGGCTTTTCCATTTGTAGGGGTATGTGGATTCTGTTAACTATTATTTGTGACTTATGGCATTGAAGGGGCTTTTCCATTTGTAGGGGTATGTGGATTCTGTTAACTATTATTTGTGACTTTGCATCGTCTTTTGTTTTATAAATAGGTTTCACACCCGTCGTAATTGAAAACCTGTTGGAAGGAGATGAGCTAAGAACAGATCTCGCTAAAATTGAAGAAAAAATTCTTGAACTTGGAGCTGAAAATATATGTTGCATTTGTAGCACAACAAGTTGTTTCGCGCCTAGAGCACCGGATAGGTTAGTTTCATCTTGTTTTGGGTTTACAGGGCTCAAAACTACCCACATTTTGTGGATGAACTGGGGGATGCATGTTTTAAAACATGTTTTATATGCTCCCATGGGACTTGTATCAAACATGGTATTATCGGTTAGTTTATTGAGTTTAGTATAGCCATGCAAAAAAGTATGAACAGAAGTAAATACATGTCGATTCATGTAGGACACCTATAGACATATTATTTAAATTTAAAAATAATTAAATTTTGTAAATTTATAGTAGTCTGGTAGGACTACTTTTAGAAAAATGGTAGCTCCAGGACAAGATTTGGTAGTCTGTACCTTGAGCTACTGTAAATTTTAAGGTTCATCTTCCAGGGTTTTGGTTCATTATGGTTGTAATAGATGCTTTGGAATGGAATGGAATCCATGTACAAGTGTGTTAGCTATTATGTTTTAATTTATGTACATGAACTAATTCAACTTGGTCCATAATCTTAGTGTGACAAGTATCAGTACATCTTAATGTTCAAAGTTGAACTCAAAATGGTCGATTGATGGCCATTTTGTGGTGAAGTCTCCCTAGATATTAAACAATGATTGCATTAACTCTAACTTAAAAGGTATACTATAGAGCTGTCATTTATAATATATTTGTATGTCAACAACCATGTTTGGGACATTGATGCAAGCGGTGAAAGCCCCTACAAAAAATCTCCACGAATAGCTTTATGAATAATATAGAACAGCTTTGACAGGCGGTGTATTATTCTAAACTAGGCGTGGGATGTATTCATTAGCTTGCTTCACAGAAATGAAATGGTATACATGTCAAATGGTTAGTGATCAATATTTACTTGTTGGCTGGTATGTGTGTCAAATCATTTGTTGTCATTGTTTACTATGAACATACAAACTTTTCCCACTTGACCCAACATGAACTGAGCACCTAGACATGGATTCATATTGCTATTTCAAGGGGATTGCGAAGATGTAATTGGTAAACTTTTCAGGGATTCAACGATAATAGCAGAGAAAGAAAAAAAATATATTGTAATGTAACTCAAAATGAATAATTTGTTATTTTGTTTTAATCTCTTAAAATATAATCTTATCTTTAATCCGCAGGTTAGAAGAGATAGCTATACTTTGTAGTAAATATAACGTCCCACATGTTGTAAATAATGCATATGGTTTACAGTCTTCCAAGTGTATGCACCTCATTCAACAGGTCAGTAGTCAGGATCTTCCTGCTTAATAAGGTTAATTATATAAATTAATTATAAGAGCTATAATAAAACAAAATAATTGAATTGAATTTCATTGTATTTTGCACATATTGCATGTAACATTGGACCTATATACCGAACAGAACATGATGAAACGACTATGGCACTTTCTGTAAATTGTCTTGCAGTGTGTTTTGTTTCAGTAAATCAGTGGCTAATCGTCAGTGGCTGAGAAGATTGTTTTATTCTTAGCTTCTAGTACCTACTCTAATTCTAACAATCAAAACAGACCTTCCGAATGACTGAAGATGAGCAGCTGTAGTTGATATGTAGTTGTTATTTATACTGCATATTTGGTGTTTCCTCTTTATTGCAATTTAGTTTGTTTACCGTAGTAAAATTTAGGGAATGCCTTGTTGGTCTCATCCTCAATTGTCAAAGTTGTTTTAATGTAGTAATTATGCATATGATGAATCAAACAAAAACATTTAAACCACCTCTAAAACAAAATGGTTTCATCTTGAGCGTTTGTCAAATGTTTAGAGTGCCCTCATTGTCAAATTTAGGATATATTTTGTTTTTATGATTGATTTTATTATTGTTTGTTTGTTTGTTATTGCAGGCCTCACAGGTTGGCAGACTAGATATATTTGTACAAAGCTCTGATAAGAACTTTATGGTTCCTGTGGGTGGATCAGTCATAGCAGGGTATAATAAAGAACTGGTTGATTCAATCAGCCAGATTTATCCAGGTTAGTAGTCATGACAACACATGTTAAAATTACTAGTCTATCTAAATTAGTGTGCACAGATACATTGTGTAGATTTTGAGTCAACAAACATTTGTATTTGACGCGTGTTGTATACATGTTGCTATGGGTCTCACATCGAACATGACATGCTGACCACTAAAGGGTAAAAAATGAGTAATTTTGAATACGCTGAATGGCTGAGTTTACAGTGCCATATGGCATATTAAAATCACCAAATAGACCAAATATGGTATAGTCAGTTATTTAGTTCATCGCGCTGTTAACGACTTAGTAAAACAGTATGTTATTGTTGTTTGAATTGCGTAAATTCAAACTTAATTTCAGTGACATGTTGAGATATGTAACACAGGATTGCATTTTGAGAAACTCCTACACTGAACACTTCTGTACACCAGACTATTAAACTATTTATTTTTCAGGTCGAGCCTCTGCTGCTTCATCAATCGATGTATTTATTACACTATTAACATTGGGGAGCAAAGGTTACAAGAAATTACTAGCTGATAGGAAGGTGAACAGAACACTTTATAACAAATCTTGATCAATGTGTGTCGTGAGGGGGTGAGGGTGTATATATTGTCCATTAGGGTTTGTTTCTATCAGAAATTCTTTTCTACATATCAGTATTTTGATAATAATATTGTTGTCATCAACAATGGCTATTTATATCATGCCTCAAGGAAGTTTGAGCTGAATTCAAATGTCATACTACTAAGCAATGTTACTGTACATATGTGCACTGCATTCTGGAAAAAAAAATCCCATTGCATATACTACCGGGATAATATTAGAAAACTATTATTCAGGAATGTTTAGCAATATTAGGAATTGTATCAATTTTAATAATATGACGTTTTCATTCAATGTCACTGAACACAATTTTGAGATTCAACATGGATGGCATTTACAATGAGAGTATGATGAACATGACATGTAATCTTTGATTTGGTTTGAACCTTCGTGATTTTCTCACAACTTCAGTTAGTCATAGTATAGAACTTGTATAACTTGTAGTCAATTAAAACACCATGGTATATGTGTAACAGCCTGATGTGCAATACCGGTAAATGGAAAGATACTTTAATAATGTGTTAGTAAGGTGAAATTATATGTGAATTATTGGATTCATCTGATTATCATTGCAGGATATGTACAAGTACCTGTCTCAGGAGATAAGTAAAGTGACCGCATTACACGGAGAGAGGTTGTTAAACACAAAAAACAACACTATATCTCTGGCTATATCACTGTCACAACTGCAAGGTAACACTAAACAGCTGACTGAATTTGGTTCCATGCTGTTTACCAGGTTTGTCTCAGGTACCAGGTGAGTTACCAACTACTTTTTTTCACTTGTGTGTTTACTTTGAAGTATTTTAAAACTGTAATTAAATGTAATCAAAAAAAACAGCTCAAAATGAAATTGTAATGAAAAACAAAATTGTGGCCCTCTAGGTTCACAATCCACTGATTACTGATGAGTAAAATACGATTCATTTGGACCATAGACACACATTCATCATTTACTCAGAACCTCAGCTACCAGCTGTACAAATACAGTACCTTTTTTAATAAGCAGCGCCCTCTAGTGGCAAATGTTTCTGTGATGTAAAAATGGAAGACTTTGATATTGTTTCTATTTGTGGTTGTCTGTCAATTAATACATTTGGGAGATTTACTTTATTCCATATTATAAATAACTACTTTCACTCTTCTACTTCGTCTGTATGTCACAAATGTTTTGTGGCTAGAGGACACAGCACGACTTTTAGGAAAGGTGGATATAACCCAAATATTGCACTGTATTAAAGTGACAGTTTTTTTATAATCGTGAACGTTGATATGGTTCCATGCAATATAAAAAATATATTGTTTGTGTATAATTATCCTTACAGTCCCTGTTAATGAGTTAATCAATATGCAAGGATAAAGAGTTTAGAAAAGTTGAAACGTGAGCTTTGGTAATTTATCCTGCAAGGCAAGTTTGAGATGATCAAGTTCCAATTTTCTTTTTGAACTGAAATTAACCAAGTTAGTTTATTTTTTTTTCAGAGTGATTGCACATGAAAGTCCACCTCTCGTTGTCTCTGGTTATGAATTCAACAACTATGGGGCACACACTAACAGATATCCCTGCACATATTTAACTGCTGCAGCTGCGATAGGAATGACTAAAGATGATGTGGACATGTTTGTGAAAAGACTTGATAAAGTACTGGGAAAATGTCTTAAAAACGTCAAATCTCAACCAGACTGCTTGGTGGAGAGTCGCATTGACAGTAGTGAACAAAGCACTGTAGAACTTCAGGAAGGTGAACAGTTATCCAGTGACTTGGAGAATAAATTAACTTTGAATTGCAAGGACAATTGAGCATATATTTGGGAATTGATTGTTTTTGGATCTACGTGGTATTGTATTTTACTGGAGGAGAAAAGATTCTCATCAGGGTGGGGACATTAATAAATCATGCCATAAAATTAATCTGAAATTTTTATTTTTAAATAAATGAAATACATGATAATCATGCAAAAAGTGAATAAATGTACATTTCTGCAATTACACCGAATGTTTGTACTTTTTCCCTCTGACCTCATATGTCAGGAAAAAAAATGATTCAAATTTGTTTGTGTTACTAGACTCCCTAGGGACTAGTGAAAATATTCACTGCCCCTCCCCCAAATACACAAAAACTAACAATTGAGAACCATTTCTCATATGTAGATGCCCATTAACACGACTCAAAACTGACGAGTTAATAACTCTGGCAAACAGCATGTTAAATTTTGAACGTTGTAACTAATACACTGCTCGGACTTTAAATTAGTTGCTATTGATTGTTTTAGATTAACATTACTCTTATTTAGGTTATGCATGCAATAGAAATAAACTACCAGTATATATGAAGTCTCACAAAATCGATATTGTTAATACAGGTAGATACTTTAGTCAATTCATTGATTTGATGACAGTGGAAATAGTATACACTACTCCAGCCACAAAATCACTGAATATTTAGTACTCTGGTTGATCAGCCTAAACTTTCTATAGTGGGTGCTGTAATGTGCACAAACTTATGGTTATAACGATTCTCACTTGAGGCAAGAATTATATTTTGTTCACAAATAAAAATGCACACAAGTCTGTTAACATAAACAAATGAGTATATCCATATTACAATGTTATCCCCAGACAACACTTAGTTTAGATGAAGATTCAAAGACTAGCATTTACATAGATTGTGGAGAGGGTGGAGTCTGCATAAGCATTGAAGATCAACAGTATTGTGTTAGGGTTGTCACTAGAAAAAGTTACATCTGTATAAACCAGGCCTAACAAATTCTACACATCAAGAGTATACACTTTTAAACAAGATAACTTCGCCCGCCCAAAGCACTTACAACACCAGTCCAAGTAGGGGATGTCATGTACATGTACACCCCAGTTTTCAAGTGCAATAGTTACACCAGTGCCGATACCCCCTGTACCATAGGGCATAAAATCTGCTAGCATAAAGGGATGCAAACACGATATAAAAACACAGGGTTTCGTAAGATGTACAGCATAATTTCATTTTAATACTCGTTTATAACAATACCTGACAAGAATCAGTTTGGCTATCAAAATGGGCAAACTATATAAACACTTACAAACTTTGAGAGAAAAAGATAGTCATCTTTAATTAGTAGCATACAGGCCACAATAATTTATACCATCAATTTTGTAACAAAGTACTCATCTCCTCTATGGTGAAAGTGTTGGAAGCCAGATATATACATTTATTTTAAAAGAGTTTACTAATTTTCCAAAAACAAACACGATATCATCAATCATTCCAGGTCACTAAATATAAGGATGAAAACAAAGTTGAGATGTTATTCTAGATTGTCTTATCAGTCATAACCTTAATGACCCCGGAACTTATTTCCTTGACTTTCACAGGTTCATTTTATGCTGATAAAAAAAATATGGGTCAATCATCCATGAATTTGAAAACGGTGTTTTTTGAGAGACTTACTATCAGTTTCTATGGTAGAAAGGTTTTGTCATATCTCAAAATTTTGTTTGGGTTTGTATGTGTCAGAAGATGATTATTCTTGGTTGGTCTGAATTATTGAGAAATTCTGCTGAATATCATATATTTTTTATGAAATAATGGTTTAACATAGATTCATATTTGATATAGTTCCAAAAAAGCTCATTTTTTTTCAGGCAGTTTTCCTCTAAACAAATATTTGGTACTGAGTAAAAAAACACATCAATGTTTTACTCTTATTTATTAGGCAGAGTGCCCACCAATAATCCCAAGTAAGCTGTCTATGAAGAGAGGTTCAAAATAATGAAATAATCATATTTCAATCATATGCCAGTTCAGTGTACAGCCTTCACAAACAAAAACCACATTACCAGTGAGGTAGCGAGGTAAATAAATTTAAAAAATGACTGGACAAAATCTTGCGTACTATGGTTAACACTGATTTAAAAGAAGTCCTCCGCTACAAACTGTTTGCAACTTGCACAAACAATGGAAAAAAATAAACCTGTACTGATTTCCCATTTAATATAAAATAACATTTCCCATTGACAATCCATCGAGTATCCATTCCGCCTACTGTAAAAGTTGGTGGCGTAAGATTTCTCAAGCTACTTTTATCAGTTTACCACGTAAAATTGTTGATATTTCATCTGACGATAAAGTCTCGTACTTGAGCAGTGCCTCTGCCAGACTATGGTGTTCACGTGAGTGTGTTTTCAACAGATTCTTGGCTCGTTCATATGAATCCTGTGAAAGAAATACATTTAGTGTTTAGTGTTTCAATATTAGTGTTTCAATATTATTTTCAGCAGAAAACAAATACCGTTAAAGTCCTATTATAAACCGCGGTTTATATTACAATGTATCAATTTAAAAATTGGGATCAAAAGCTCAAGTTCGGGGTGCGGTTTCTATTACGTACATATTGCAATCACTAAATGGGCGTGGTCATTTTTTGTCCACAACACATGCACAAAACAAACAATACACCGTACAATTTCTTGAATAGGCGTCGGGGAAGAGTGAAAGGCCTTATTTTGGTTCTAAAATAGGCGTTATGAAATGTTGAAAAATTACAGTCAATCAAAAATAAATTCCACATGATACAAAAAATACTCAGTATTTTTAATGTAATATGCATTTATTTTTTTAATTTTCTTGGTAACGAAAAGTATATTCTAACAGAAGTTTCAAATAAAAACACGAATGCACTGCTTAGTAGCAAATGATCACACAACGGTAGTTCGATCCGGCCATGCTGCGGGTCACAAGTGAATAACTTACTTGTTTTCGAAGTGTTGATA